AACACACGGACAACCTTTGTGGTGGCTTGTGTGTGTGTGGATTATACTGTGTGTGCCACAGTGGGGTGGTGTCAAATTTCTGGAATAATGATCTGCTAGCTACCAATACTTTGTGGCTTTGTGGCATGCATTTAAGTAGCAAAAGGGAGCAGCTCCGCGCTTTGTCCACAGGGCTGCTTTTTTGACAAACCTCTCATAAAGTGTAAAGAGGCTGTAAAGTGTTCATTTAAGGTGTTAATTTAGAGTTCAGTTAGGGTTTGCAAGCATGATGCACTTTAAAGATTCTAATGTTGTACGCTGGTTGAAAGTCAAATTTTCCCAGCAGGCAAGTGTCCGCTACTGTGCAAGGCAGATATTCGTGACGGTGCTCTCCATGCCGAAAGACTTGGGTGAAGTGGATGTCTCCAAAACATCTTGAGGCATTCTCAGGCGTGTGATCGACCCTGGGTCAACCAACATAGAATCCAGAGGGCCAAAGGCCCAACCTCCTGCAAAACGACACCAATTTCCTGGTTTGTTTCAGAGAAATATCGCGATACGACCGGTGGGCTCGACGGGGTGCAGAGCGGCATACCAACCTGCAGTCTAAACTTTGCAAGTGCCTTTCAGATGACCGGTGACCTGTAGAAGAGGACCGGAACACAAGATTCAGTTGCTTTTCTCAACCTGCTCAAGGTCGCAAACAGTTGGGTCCTCTTTGATCTCGGGGTAGTATGGCGCAGAGTTCTTGGCTAGTAAGGACTCTGAGTGCTTCTTGGTGCAAGTTTGAGATCAACCCTTCAGCATCAGTAACAAGAGGAATCCGCAAAGAGACTGACTCCGTCTCTAGGTCTCTACAAAAGCGATCATTGACTTGGGCGGATGCTTCGGAAGACATTGGTCACTGGACACCCCGCCCGTGGATTGCTTTGACAATGGGGCAAGACAAAGCCACCCTGAGAAGATAGCAACCTGTGAGAAGTTATTCCAATAACTAAAAGTTTGACTTTTTGACCTTGTCAAAATTCATTTTGAGGGTACAGTCTGAGAAGAAGCTCCGCACCCCATGACTTGTGCATTGCGGGGCGGATTGGTGACACAGACTGCACCGTTGGCTTTGTGGCAGAAATGGACACATCAGCTTACCCCATCTGGTGTAAAAAGGACCAAGAGGCCAAGACCTACAGGGTTGCCTCTCTCAGACTAGTTCAAGCAAAATGAAGCATGGCTTCATTTACAGCAGCTGCTGTCCCAGCACTGATTGGCCTGGTGAGTGGACTTGCCTCCCACCATATTTGAGGCCGCAAGCAACATGACAAACATCGCAAAGGCACCATCAACAAATTGTTCAGGCTCCCTTTTGGCTCCCAGGTCGCCATGTTCTTCCAATGAAAAAATTTAAAATCTACATTCAAGCAAACAAATCTAGTCAAGGTCACCCAATCACTGGACAATGCCCTCGTTCCAAGCTCATTCGTTCAACCTATGCCCTCTTGCGTTCCGCCAGCAATGCGCTTTCCTCCGCACATCGGCAGCTCGGGCAGCTCGGGCACGGGCGAGCGCGGCGACGTCGATCCAAAGCAGCTGAAGCTGCTACCTCCGCAAGAGAGATAACATAACACAAAAGGCCCCAACCCGCACACTGGACGCACCATGTGTCTCGGTCTCCACCGCGTGCCCCCCAAAAGATTTATATAGTCCAAAAGAATTTGTGCTGGTAGCTAGTTACTTGCGGCCCCCCGCCACGTGGTTTTCTCCCATCTCCCATCGACTTGGGTTCCAAACATTCTCAAATGAGTTTCACAACAAACGAGGCGTGGTCACAGAATGGTCCCGATCAAACGTGCCTTTAAAAAGAGGTCCCGTTTCAGCCCCTTCAGTCGCTCAGTCCCTCTGAGACCAGGGGCTCCAACAGACCTAGTGGGCCTCACGGTAGGTCTGACACATCTCTCGCCAGAGTCCTCCTTGGTCAGATTTTGATCAGGCAAGATCTCTCAAGGTTGGATCACAGGGCTGGTGTCAGAAGTGCTCAGATTCAGAAAGTTGGCATGCCCGTCTCCAATGATACATTGTCCTACGTGGAAACAACTGTTCACCACCTAAGGAGTTGGCACCATCCCTCATGTATTCGGCTGGTTCAATGACTGGAACCCTTCATCAAACCATCCATCACCTCAACCCAAACATCTGAACCAAACATCCTAACCTACACATTTACTCGGACCAACGGGTACTGGGTTGCACCAAGGAGATCAACGGAAGTTGAGAAGAACTAAGCTCCGACCTTGCTGAAAAACAAAGCCAAAACAGAAATGAACAGAGCTGGACGCCAGCGAAACAAAAGCAGCATCACATGCTAAAGGCCTTGCTCAACGCTTCAAATCCTGTTGATCCTGGCGTTCACTGTGAGAGCTTACGTCCGGGTGCACTGGCCAAGGTGCAAGGCTTGACGCTCTCCGGGCCCTGGCGACGTTCCGGACCAGCCAATGGACTTGCCGTTCATTGGATCACCAGTTGCTGAGAAACCAACTCTTTCTGTTCCCCTTTCTCCCATGCAGTTGTTTGTTCAAAAGCATGCTTCACCTTTCTGAGGACCCCTCATGGATGTGGTCTTGGCAACAAACAAGCGACATGGACCACTTTTATCCACTTTTCACTGAGACAACACCACAAGTGTTGCACCGTCGGCGGCCGCATCCCGTTCACTGCCCCAGCGCCTGTCGCCTCACCACAACTGTTCCAGTCTCCAAGCTCTTCCCATAGCGCGTCGTTGAAGACATCGCTGTGGTCAGAGCGTGTCGATGTCTTCTAGGTCAATTCGTGCTCGAACGCCCAGCCTGTGAACGGTAGAGAAAATCAGAAGACAAACTTGATGCATCGAATGATAAACTAGCACAGCTGCATCACCTGCATCTAGTGCCTCAAGCCTTCTCATGTTAAGCACTGGCTAGTTGGGTTATTTTGCAGTCAAGGTGCCCCGAAGTCCTCATGAAATCCAACCCACCTTCCATAAGATGACCTGAGTAGGAGACTAGGATTTTTGCGCACCAGCCTCAAGCCCACCAAAGAGGCAATCACAGCCCAACTCGTTCCATCCAGCGTCTCCATGCTGCACAGAAGGCCGGTGCCCTTTCCGCAGCGATTCGTTGAGCGGTGGTTGATGTCTTCTTTTGACAGGAAAAGGGATGAAAAGTGGAAGACTTGAGGAACATCTGTGTCCGTTTGTCAGCTTTCTGCGGGGCATTTTTTATGTGTTCTTTTTGCCTTGAACGACTGAAAGAACTTTTTGAATGGAGCTTCAAGGGGAGAGCTTTAAGGACCATTTCAGATTGCACATCATGCTCACGTATCTTTACATGTCAAACACATACTGGGATTGAGCCTGAAAGTGAGCAGAAGGTTGGTGGGGCAAAGGACTCAAAGAAAATCAACATTGGGACATACCGACAAAACGGTATCCAGTTTCCGAAAAAGCAGAAGTCTTTCAGGGGGTCCTTTTCATATGAGTCACGGGCCACTCATTGGGGCATCAGTATTGCACCTTCACCAGGCCACAAAAAACTTAGCCACGTTTGGTAGACAGCCTCACCAGAGGCGACGACTGAAACGCCAGAAGCCCCATGAAGATTCAAAAAAGTGCATGGAACGGAAAAATGAATGCTAAAAGGAGCTCCAGGAAGACATGCATCAACGGTTGGGCAAAGGAAAATTTGATGAAAGGCAAAATCGATGCACAATGCCTCCTGCACTCCAACAAAATGCACTCAAACCCTGCTTCTTTAAGTCTACCAACAAGGCCAAGACTTGTTTTCGCGAGCCGGGCATTGAAGATGAATCTGTGAAACTGCATCTGCGATCTGCCGCAGTCTTCACGGCAAACGCTGCAGTGAGCTATCTCTTCAACTCCACATGCTTCACATAGTTGGTTCACATCGTATCAAAGCAGCAAGGCTTTGCCGCCAGTCTTCTGAAAGCTAACTATTGGATGCATTCACACTCAACGCATCAGCAAATTCTCCTTAGTTTCTTTTGTCTTGGATTGCCTCATTGGGGCAGATCAAAGGTGGTCTCAAATACCGGCTTGCTTGGTCATCGGGATCTGTTGGATGCACAATTCGCAACATTCTTGGATGCTTGCACAATGAGGCATGCTATCTCAGCACCAATGTGTTTACCGTTGACTTGGAACGAAGCTGCGAAAGCCCGGCTTTAAGGTTGCCTGTGTCTACCCTTCCTTTTTCACAGCTGGGCAAACACAGAGAGGAATCCGAAAGTCTATTTTCAGAACTGCACTGCAAAGCAGAGGTCCAGGTCGGTGCTGAAGTCCCTTCAACTGAAGAGGTCCAAACCGGTCACGGTCGCGTCCGGTCGCTGCGGAACCGACGTGGGCGACGTGCGCAAGAAAGGCCGGCACCGACATGACTTGGTGCAGCTGCGGGACCGGAGGGGACCGGAGGAGACCGGAGGGAACTCCAAGGAGGCATAGGATTGAGATCTTTTGTCAATTTGGCCTTGGAGTTGTTGGGTTTTTTGTGATCGTTCTTCAAGGCATCAATAAGGATTGAGATCTTTCTTTTGACCTCAAAGGTTTTGGTTCGGACTCGGACCCGGTGTTGTTCAAAACAAAGCAAAAGGCTTGCGGGAATTTTATTTGGACAAGGAGTGTGCTTTAAAAGTGTCAATGGATATACACCATAAATCATCCTTCTAGCCTGAGCCAAAAGGATTCCCACATTTTTCTGGGAACATCAGCCCAATTAGCAATTGAGTGAAGCATCTTGCATATGCAGCGTTTCTTCAGGGACATTCTTGGGCACTTGCAGTTGCACATCAGCTATAAGCGCCCATTATGTGACACTTGGGACACCCAACATGTCACTTTGATTGTCCTGCAGCTATTTAAAGAAACACATCTTGGGTTGCGGCATCAATACTTCAGTTTATCTCCCCGAATTAGTTTGACAATCTTTCCGTAGATCCGAACGAGCTTCACTGCGACACTTGAATGCACGTGGTCCCTAATGGCAAGCTATCCAAGTAGCATGGCAAAGGCCTGGTACCAAATGGAAAGAATTTCTTGGAACACAAAGTCACATGCTAACTCTTGCTTGTTTGACACGGGTGCCATAGTCCATCAAAGTCGGGAGATTCAGCTCAAGGCTCAAGGCAGTTTTCTCGGCTTGGAGGTTCATGCCCACGGAACAGAAGTCCGGGGCAAGACCTCCTCAATCACAACCATCGAACCATCCTCATCCATCACAGCTCACTGCGCGGTGCACTCACCATACTTGAGAAAGACCTTACTGAGTGGCTATGGCACAAAGATTAAGTACTAAGTCTGATCAGTCCACTGGTGGCAGTGCCCCTTGATAGCTGGGAATCAGCCTGGCAGATGATCGGTTCACTCGCCAGGCTGAGGGCGCCAGGCTCAATGAGGTCGCACCTTGAAGGCGGCCACTTTCCTGAGCATGGCGAGCTGCTTCCCAACATTTGTCACTTGCACCCGAAATCGAGCTGCTTGGAGCCACCCGTTGCCACCCGCACACGAACAGCAGTGGTCCCTCTGCAGAACCCTCAGCCATCGAACCTCAGACATCAACCTGCAGCACAAACCATCCACATGCCCATTCTTTGATGGGCCTTGCTTGCAGCTCCCATTGTGGGGTGGTGGTCGTCCTGGTGGTCTCAGCATCGTCATGTCCAGCGATGCACGCGTTGTGATCCGTGAGGAAGGCCGTCGAGAGTCTCGAGAGACTGTGGAGGTCGGTGTTCTCGTCGACATCACTCAGGGTGCTGCAGTGAACTTCATTCCTGCTGAACGAAGAACGAGCTGGAAGTGGTGGAAAAGCATCTTCCCAGCTGGTTGTGGGGTGACAAGTCCTGCAAAGAATCAGGATCTAAGTTTGGGCCTCTGTGTACATTTCGTGTACCACCTATTTGACCAGCTGATGCTTCGTAGCGGGAGCTGTGGCACTTTTCTGCGCGCTCTGGGGCTTGGGCAAAGCTCAGTAGTATCTGAGCATGTTGTGTGTGAGCCAGGCCATTGGGGCACCTTTGCAACTAGTGGTTTTCTAACTGGACACTTTACCCTGCAAATGCTAGCAGCTAGCATTTTCTGTTCAGAAGCAAGACTTCCGAGGCAGGCTGGAAACCTTACCATTGCCTGGAGCAAGAGCTCTGAACACTCCGCACTGCATGGACTTGCGAGTTGCATGTCGAGCAAAACGGGAAACAAACTAGTCAGGTTAAGCGCCAGTGCAAGTCCACCCAGTCAAATAAAGGTGGTTTTCTGAAAACAAAGATGGTTCGGGCTGCTTGTAACTGTGGCTTCTTGTCACATGGTTGGTCACTCTACACTCAAATGGACCATCGGCATCTCTACCCACAGTCGAAGTGTGTTTTTTGACCTGCACTTCCCAGCAGAGTGTTTCTTCCGGATGCGGCTCCAGAATCTGGCTTTCCTGTGTGAGATGCAGGTCAGAAACCCTTTACAAAAATCATTTGGATCATGAATCCTCTTTCTCAAATACGCTGCTAGGTGGCCAGGGTTTTTAGGATCTTGAACCCAATCACATGACGTCTTTCTCCAAGAGATCTGCACGCAAAGTCGGTGTGGCTCTGTCCTGACAGGGCAATCTGCGCGTGAATTTCTGCGCTCCGACATCTGCCTCACGAGACGAGACACAAACTTGGATGACCCCAAGAACAGGCCTTCTCTTGTTTGGCTCCTTGACAGGGTCAGGCAATGTCTGTCTGGAATGTCGTGAAGGTCACAAGTCCTCGAACCCCTAGACTCTGGAAACCTGTAGCAGGAACGAAATGCTCATATCCAGGCGGTAGTGTGTTGTGCTGGCTGCACCGTCAAGGCAGGGTGGAAAATCTTTTCCTTTGACGCAAATTAGAGCAAAAGGGTTGCCGAGATCTACACGAGATGGGACCACCTGTTACTCTTGAATAGCGACGCACATGTCTGGCCTTTTCATGTGGTGTTGCTAGCAGCTGGCTATCTATGCCAGCGAGATTTGCAAGGTCAAATGGTTTCTGCCAGAACAAAACCGTGGTAAATCCCGAATGTCTGAGCGCTTGGAAATCTGTAGCATGTGCAAAATACTTGAATCCCGGCAGAAGTATGTCGTGCTGAATCAATCACCCTCAAAGCAAAGGAAATCTGTGCGTTCCATGTGAACTAAAGAAAAGGGGTTGCCGAGACTTAGATGAGTTGGGACCATCTATTGCTCTTGAATAGCGACACACACGTCTAGCCTTTTCATGTGGTGGCACTAGAAGCTCGGTATCTAGGTCAACGAGATGTGCCATGTTAACTAGTTCTGGTCATCAACTTGGACCCTACTTTTACCAAACTGAAAGCCAAGGAGATGTCCTCTTTGCGGGTCGATTGTTTCCTTTTAACGAAAGTGCTTGATGTCCGACACATTCCACATTCAGATACAGATACTGTACCTTGATCTCCGTAACACTATCATTGCACCGGTGTTTTTTGTAGCACGCCATTCCCCTGGTTAACTGCTGACTTATCAGCGTCAGAAGGCTCTCACACTGTGTCACCTCATGCTTATGCACAAGGTGCATGGACATGGCCTATGTGTCAGCTGGGTCGGAGATCCGTTTGGGAGCAAATCAAATGTGCTTGGCAGGTCTGCGCTGGCCATTCATCTTGGCAAGTGCTGTTTTGAACTCTCCTAAGTGCCAAAGACTTTCTTTGCAAAGGTTAATTGGGAAAGCTCTGAAAAGCAGGTTGCAGCAATGGTCTGGCTAGCCTCGCCATGTCAACTCAAGTGCAAAGCAGCCTTGATTGCCTTCTTTACACTGCGTCAAACAGACTTCTTGCAATTAACGCACTGCCCTCTCAGGTGGCTTGGCAAGACTGCCCCCATAAATCTGAAAACAAGGTTGTACCGCGGCTTGTTCATCTTCTCCAATTTCGGAGATGACAAAAAGAGGGGGTGCATGCAAAGTTAGGCCTTCGTCATTGTAGAACACCTTCAACAAACAATCTTTGGTCCTTTCTCGTTGCTGTTCAAGCAGCAAGTTGAGTCTTTGTCAAATTGGGGCAGCTCTGCAAAAGCGAGACCACTATACGCACCACCAGCAAAACATGCCAAAACACGGTCCCATGCAACAAGCTCTTGTGAGCACGTGCTGCTGAACAACAAACCTGCTCGGATAACTGTGCACATGGCACCAGCAGGCACAAAATGCCTGGGGTGTTGAGTTGGAGTCTGCATCTATACAATTGTCTGATGGGACAGTGATGCAGAGTGGCCTGTCACCTTCCGTCTGGAATCGAATGAATGCCGCAAATCCTCGAACCCTTGGACCCTGGAAACCTGTAGCATGAGCGAAATGATTGAATCCTGGCAGTAGTATGTTGTGCTGAATCACCGTCAAAGCAGCACGGGAAACCACTGCCTCCCATGCAAACCAGGGAAAAGGGCTCGCTGATGTGTGACATGTTTCAGCACAGGTGATAGCACCGGCACCGGTGTTTTTGTAGCACGCCATTCCCCTGGTTAACTGCTGACTTATCAGCGTCAGAAGGCTCTCACACTGTGTCACCTCATGCTCATTCACAAGCTGCATGGACATGGCCTATGTGTCAGTTGGGTCGGAGATCCGTTTGGGAGCAAAACAAATGTGCTTGGCAGGTCTGCGCTGGCCATTCATCTTGGCAAGTGCTGTTTTGAACTCTCCTAAGTGCCAAAGAAAGAAAAGCCGGTTGCAGCAATGGTCTGGCTGGCCTCACCATTTCAAGTCGAGTGCGGAGCAGCCTTGCGTGCCTTCTTTGCACTACCTGAAGCAGATTTCTTGGTTGGCAAGATTGTTTCCCAAAAAGTCTCTGATAAAGTTGTACCACAGCTCTTTCATCTCCTCTACTTCCAGAGATGAAAACAGGTCGCGTTGCAGGAAAAGTTAGGCAGTCGTCACTTTAGCACACGTTCAACTGATAATGTTTGGGTCCTTTCTCATTGGTGTTTTAAGCTGGAAGTTGACTCTTTGTCGGGGCAACTCTGCAGAAGCGTCACCCTTTTACTCCATCAATTGCCCTGCATGCCAAAACACGGGACGGCAATCCTGTTTGGATAACTGTGCCAAGGTGTTTCAGTCACACTTGAGCAATCATGGATGAAGCACAAACAGGCAAAGCTGCCGGCAGTTAATTCTGCATCTATACAGGTGTGTGATGTTGGGGCAATGATGCAGGACCTGTCAATTTTCTGTCTGGAACTTAGTGAATGCCGCAGATCCTTGAACCCCTGGACACTGGACCCTCGAAACCTGTAACATGTGTGAAATTCGAGAATCTCGGCAAATGTTGTGCCGTGCTGCACCCTGAAAGCAGCACGGGAAGTCTTTGCGTTCCTCCCAAATTAGAGAAAAAAAGGTCGCCGAGATTTAGATGAGTTAGGACCATCTGTTGCTCTTGAGAATGGCGACACACATGTCCGGCATTTTCATGTGGTGCTAGGACCTGCTAGGAGCTCAGTGTCTAGGCCACTGACATGTGCCATGTCAAAATAGTTGTCATCAACGAGTCCCGAACGCCTGGGCCCTGGGAATCCTGTGACATGCGCAAACTGCGTGAATTGACCAAAGAGTAATCTCTGGGAAGCTTCTCGCTATACAACTGGCCAGGCATGTGTGGCAGCTCAAAAGTTTGGGTCAGCTTTCCCTACACGGAGCAGGCAAACATTGTTCGCTGCTTGTGGTTTGCGGCACTTCAGCCTTTTCCTCAACATTGAAGCTATCCAGGAAACCTTGAGATTTCTGAAGGTAGAAAAATGAGGTGCGACAACGGTCCTGACAAAATCCAAAATCCTGCTCTTCTCAACCTGGCCAACACCGTTTGGACTTGGGAACCCTAGTAGCTCAAGAGTTCTAAGCCCTTTGTGGGTGTGATGGAGTTGGATGAATAGCGTAGATACTTTGAGAAAGATCCAAGCAACCTCCATGATCCCTTCACACCTCTCCTGGCCACACAACTTGACAATCGCTTGCCACGCCTGGATACACAAGCACGCTGAGCATGTATCAAGGCTGAAGAGAGAAAGGTGCTCGAATCCCTGCTGAGTTCAAGGACTCGAAGCAAGCATCATTGTTCTATCTACCATGCATCTCTTTTTATGCCCATAGGAAACAAACAACCGTCAATGTCTCCTGTTCCCTACTCATGAGCTACCATCTGTGCCTTGCTCGGAGTATCACTTCGGAAGGCACCAGTGTGGCTCTCGAGGGAATTTCTTAGATCCCTAGGTTCCTGAAAGGAAGAAAATCCGAGCAAAGCAACCTCCACGAGCTCTTCACCTGGCAAGCTAGG